CTACAAATGGCTCGTTACTGCCCGAAATTCGGCTCCTATCGTTCGTTGTAAAGAGCCGTTCAAAAGATTTGGATCGTTCTCGAACGTCACAGCTCTAATGGTCATGGTTTCTCCATTTGAGTTTCTTCAACCGTCTTCATCGCTGGGTTCTGTCTGAAATTAAGGTGGCGCTCAGGCTCAGCTCATGACAGTTAACCAAGATGACATAATTCCAAATCTATTCCAGGTGTGAGCTACAACTGTGATTGTTTCCCTCGTGAGGAACATAGTGCGTGACCAATTGCATTTCAAGAAAGAAAAACAGCAACATCTGATTACAAAACTATGCTGAACCCAAAGGAACGAGTAACTAACCAGCTTCCTAGAAATGTAGTGGAGTCAAACGTACAATATTTGCTGAAATGCAGTGGAGTGAAAACCATAAGTTTCCCAAAAAAATATTACTCAAGTAAAGTAAAGATTCTCAAAAAATGTACTGAAGTACAGTATTCAAGTAAATGTACTTTGTTATTGTCCACCACTGGAAATACGTAGCTTTTATTTGACTGTAATAATTTGAAATAAGTCTCAAAGTGTTACAACTTTTAAACATTGACCTAATGTTTTTGTCTATTTTAAWCACTGGGACAAGATTTGTATAGTTTATCTGATGGTCATATTGATAGAACTGCAACGACAGAAGAATTCACATTCGTGGAAATCATGAAAACAAAGACGTGACATGTTTCACACGCCTTGTTTTGCAGTTACAAACATTTGGTGTGCACCTTAAGTGCTCTGCTGTTGGGTCGTTAAATGCGAATGATAATCTACACTCAGAGGACGGTGCAGAATAATTGCCTTCCTGGGTTCTATTCAAGCAGCGTTGTTACTGCTGAGAGGCATCGACGTAACTGAAGAGCCTGTGTGACTTTGATTGGTAAGAAACCTGAGTTAAGAACCCTCGTGGCCCTCTGTGGACTGTGTGTTGGCAGTGAGGATGACATGAACTCCAAAACCCCAGTGTGCTGTGATTACCAGATGGCCGTGGCAGCGATGTTCAGTCCTTTCACTCACCTGGCTGAGTAAAGACTTCCTCTAACCCTGCACTCGCAGGAAACGGTCTCTACAGTACGTCTGCCTTCTCTGCCTCTGCCAAAACTCTCGCTTCCACCCTCCGCTCATGCCTCTGAAGTATGTTACAGAAAAAGGGAAATAAAAAAGGAGGACACCAATTTAGGCCACTGAGGTGCAAAAGGGATCGCTGAAAACAGGATAGTGGGATTTGATGTCCTTAACTTAAATTGCTGCCAGGTTGTTGTGATTATAGGTGACACATTGTTGTGGAACGAATCGTGCTTTTTTAAAGCAACTCTCATTGCCCAAGTTTCACGTGCAATTTCTTTGGGATAAACTTTTTTTTAATGTTTAATCATTGTTACAGTATTTAGAGAAAGCACATTTCCTAAAAGGATTATTCAAATGCTCGTTTTTGATATTTTCATGATTTATAGACCAAGAATCTTACAAGTTAGCCCATGGGTGTAGCACAAAACTTGTGGCATATTCTCAGCTAATGCATAAATGCACATTATTTATCTACTTGTGTGGATTATTGATTTATGCTAATTTGTGGTTTTTTGGAAGTACAATATGAAGAATGCTTATTTTTGTTTTTGCTTCAGGGTAGTGTAAGCCACATAAACACTGGTACACTGTACAAAAATATGTTAAGTCAGCTCTTCGTTTAGTTTGTGCCTTTTCTGGTTCTGTTCTCACATCTCTCTCCTGACGAAAGGTTACAGAAAATCACTAGCTACCAGGCAAAGATCGATAGCATCAGAACAGTGGTTTGCTCCCTTATTTATCTATCTGATGTGTTTGGTTTCGAGGGAACACATTAACCTTATCTAAAGATGTTCCACAGTGCTGCAAATGCGCTCGAAACTATTGATAGCGTATGCTAATGCAGAGTCACAGGTTTAACACTTGACTTCTACACCTAAAACTTRTTATTCAATGAGGTTTACCAACTTCTCCAATGCTGATATAAACAGCGATAAGGGATTAACGTAATGGGTTTCTCGCATYTTTTGCTTTTCCACTTTCAAGTTCCGCCAGTCATCCGAGTTCATCCAGAGAGCCAAGCCAGGGAGCCGGGTGTGACCGCCAGCCTGCGCTGCCATGCTGAGGGCATCCCCAGTCCACAGCTGTCCTGGCTCAAGAATGGCATGGACATTAAAAGCAAGCTGTCCAAACAACTCACCCTGCAAGGTAAAGACCGGCCACAAGTTTACTGGCATACGCTTGTGCTTTTGTTTACTTTCATTTACTGTCATTTCCAATATACTGGCATGATTTTTGTCTACAAGCAAAACAATCTAAATGTGTAAGAAAGGCCAGGGGTGAGTTTGCAGACATAAGTCTGTGAAAGCTCAAGTATGTTTGATAAACTTCTTGAAACAATTGAATCTTTTATGTTTTGCTAGTGCAGTCTTGGCTACGGCTGTGTGTTGCATGCCTCCAAATTGTAAAATCATGAAAATGTTTCCATAAATGTCAGTGTTTTCAACTTGAAACAGRAGCAGGTGTTTAGTTTGTAATGAAAATTTAATTAAGCAAGACAACAGTTAAGAGATACTGAAATAGAAATGTACAGATGCAGATGCATTAGTTGGTGCCCTTACAGGTCATTGCTTAAATCTTCAGTTAATCAGTTGTTTGTTGTATAGGCCTTTAACGGTGAAAAAAAAGTTCATTTTGCAAAGATATGTTAAAAAGAGTACAGATAGATTTGTTTGTACTCAAATATATTATTGATGTTTGCATGTTTCAAACTGTGTTATGGTGGTTTATGGTGAGTGGGAATGGATAAAGAACCCATTTGAACGGGTGCCTCYTAAGTAGGCCCATTGCGGTCCCCAAAAAGACTTTATTCAAACCTTTGCCTCGAATGAAAGACACAAAGTTCAAACTGTGTGTGTTACTTGTGATTGAGCTCCTTGTACACTCAGGAGAACAGATGAAATTTAGCTGCTGTGCTAATTCCAGTGTATTAATAATTACAGAATATTAATTAATGTGCATTGTCCTTTTAAATAAATTGTATTTATTTTACCATTGTTTAACCAGGCAAAACCAAATGAGATCACAGATTTCTTTTACAAGAGAGTCTGGGGCCTGAAGGCAACCTATTGCACGTTTTTGGGGTGTGGGGGAAACCGGAGTACGCGGAGAAAACCCACATAAGCACGAGAACATGCAAAATCTGCACAGAAAGACCCTAGGTCCAAACCGGGGTTCGAACCCAGTGAGGCATCAGTGCTAACCACTGAACAGTTGTGCTGCCGTAAATAAATGACTATATAGATTTTCTGATGATTATGAAAACATTGTACATGCAACCTGTAATGCTGAGATCATAATCGCTGTTAAGACAAGACAGCAAAAGAGTTGAATCTGTACTTTCCATGCCAGACTACTTGCCGTCACTGTGCTTTTTGTATTTTAACGATACGTGTGTGCTTGCACATGTTTCAGTCTAGAGCAGTGGTTCCCAAACTTTTTCTCTTCTGACCCACAAAATATCCATGGCAAAAACTTGTGACCCCAAATATTACTGGTCTGAGCATGTGAACTTCGTTAA